TAGCAAAATGTAGCCACAACAAGGCCTGCAAGATTACAAAAAACATGTTATTCAGTTAACAATAACTGTAATCTGAACTTCCTTCATTCGTGTCCACAAACCAAGGAGTCCGCCAGCAAACACGTCTTGCCAGTGATGCCAGTAATCGTCCACACGGGAAACACCAACAAGACAAGCAGCAAGAATTGGAAGAAAAATTATGCAAAGTTTCGCCACGTGTCCACGCCGGTCAAAGCATTTTATTTTTCCCGATAAGTATAATGCTAGAAACCCAAGACCCGCAAAGGACCCTGCACATGAAAATCATGACGTGGATTAATCAGAGGATTGATCATCTGATGTACAAAATTTCTGCATTCGATTTTTTTTTTTTTTTTTTTTTATGTTTTTGTGGTCTTACATGAAGTGTGTCCACTGGGAAAGCTCTTGTGTCCTTCTTTTATGTCACTCTCTTTACCATGGCACACAACATTGCCCCAATGATCGTACTCCTGTCATAAGCCAAAAAAAAAAGGAAATATGCGACATAAATAAAAATTTAAACAGCAAGTTCATATCTGACAGATGAACAGAAAATTAATCAGCACTAAACGACCAAGTAAAATCACTACTCATACAAAGCTAAATTCTCAAATCGACAAATGAAAATGAAAATTGGAAAAAGCAAATGTCACATCCCAGAAAAAGTCCCTGGTGAAGTGGTGTTGGGGAAAATAAGATAATCGTACATCTCGTCCATCAGGAAAACAACGCCAGAAAAAGTCAGGGCGGGGCCGGCCAACTCCATTTTTAATGGAATCTGTGAGAACTGCCGTTATAAGCACCGAAAATAGGAGGCCTGCAGTTAAAAATCGGTCGAATGCTATAAATGCAGTATCACTCAATGCTCCTTATATGCCTTTTAATATCAAATGGCTAAATAAGGAATGAAAAGAATGGATTATTACTTTTCAGGAGAGAAAAAAAACAAAGCACATATTGAATCACTACTTAAGAAAAGGGAATAGAGAAACAAATTCAGAAATATATGAGGTTATCAAGAAGGTTGATATGATAATGATACCTAGTATACTATGGTGCAGGTCATAGACATCTCGTCTCCGAATATAATAGAGAACGAAAATGAGAATCGGCAGCAAAACTGCGTACAGCTAATCACCACCAAAAGACAAATCCAATGTAAGAAACATAAAATCTAAGGAATGACAAGATCAGATGACTCTGGAGACTGAGAGAGACTCACAGGGACAGCCCACACAGGTACCGTGTTTTCTTTCATAGGATACCTAAGATCTTCCATCATGTCTCGCCCAACAAAACGGTAAAACGGGTGAATTATATACAGAACAATCTCTATTATCACGAGCAGTATGAGTATAAGCCAATCATGTTTGTGATTCCTCACGAGCTCTCTCCCATGAGACTTTATGGTATGTTGGCATTCGAGCACAACACCATTTGGTCCGACCTGTTTCACAAACACGCGAGATATTTTAAGCACCATATAGTTTGGTAAAACAAAGTATAATTGTCAAAAACAGAGAACAATTATGGAAACCTGAAAAGATGGGCTTGAATCAAGAACATGAAATCCTAGTTAGCCTTATGCTAAAAGCAGAAGCTAAAAGGTCGAGTTGGTTAAACACGTTATGGCGAATAAGTTGGATGAGTCCTCATTTCTTTGTGAAAGCAAAACAAAAACACGAATGAGCTCAAAATGGATTGCTTTATGATGATTGCAAACACTCCCTTTGGTGAGGAAAAACCATATCCATGCCTTTAAACAACACCATATTTGTGAAAACCAGGATGCTTTACAATCATGGTTTCAAATCAAGGCTGCTTAGCAGTTCTCCCATCAAAACACCCGTCGGTTAATCCCTTTCGCTAAAATAAGGTGCGGAAATCGAAAAGGGGGGAATTAAACATGCTGAAGGAGACCAAATCACAATTCACTGATTACAACCCCACTTTGTGCCTGATAGACTGATACCAAGTAAAACCCAAGACTTACAAAAGGCCAAACCTTTTCAACATTTAATAATTCTTAAGACAAAAGAACTATGTAAGATAAACAATCTTGTCCAAACATCAGCAAAAACATAGAAGTAAAATAACACCACACACAGACCTGAAACATGTTCCTGAAATTCGGAGCAGGGCAAAAAGAGATGATATTACTCAAACCCATTTGCGTAAAACCCGAAACAAAGCAACTATTCGAAGCTCGAGTATAATCCCCAGATTCTGAAGGGTAATTAACCCACAGAGAGAGAGAGAGAGAGAGAGAGAGAGAGAGAGAGAGATGTCAGTTTATAGCAAAATCGTGAAAAATACAAAGGAAACATAAAATTCTAAACCTAAATAGCAAGAAATTAAGAATCCTTCTTTATCCTTAACAGTTTCCCAGACAACTAACGAAAATTTTCCTTCGAGTGGTAAAAAAAAATTAATGATTGAGCATAAGAAAAAATTTATAGTGATTAAGCAGATATTTTCTTTGGCTTTGCTGTCAAGGCTTTAAAAACGGGGACCCAATTGTTGCACCAAAATTGAGACTCTCACTCTTGCCTGTAATAAGTTTTCAAAGACTATGCAGTACAAATGGAGGCAACTTGCTTACTCAGTTCTTGAGAATAATTTTGGAGATAAATGATGACAATGAAAACTAACCAGAGAGATGGTGATTTGAAATAGAAACGAATAGGCGCCTTCTGTTCTGTGCGAGAGAACGGTTGAGCAAAATTGTGTAAATGTAATTTATTATGGGCTTAATTGCTTAAAAATCGAATTGAAAAAAAA